ATTATTACATTATTACACTATTATTTTATTCTTACATTATTGTTAAATTATTATTATGTTATTGTTACGTTATTACGTTATTGTTACATTATTGTTACATTATTACATTATTTGTACATTATTATGTTATTCTTACATTATTGTCACATTATTATTATGGTATTGTTATGTTATTACGTTATTGTTACATTATTGTTACATTATTAATACATAATTGTTACATTATTATTATATCACGTTGTTATTATTACATTATTGTTAAGTTTTTATTACATTATTGTTACATTATTATTACATTATTACATTATTTGTACATTGTTACGTTATTCTTACATTGTTACATTATTATTATGTTATTGTTATGTTATTTTTACATTATTACATTATTTTTACAGTATTACTTTAGTGTTATGTTATTATTACATTGTTACAATATTATTACATTATTGTTATATTATTACATCATTTTTATGTTATTGTTACGTTATTTTTACATTATTGTTAAATTTTTACATTATTGTTACATTATTATTGTTAAATTATTATTATATTACTACATTATTGTTGCATTATTAGTTAAATTTTTGTTACATTGTTATTGTTACATCATTACATTTTTGTTACTTTATTATTACATTATTTCTACAGTATTGTTACATTATTATTACATTAGTACATTATTTCTACAGTATTGTTACATTATTATTACATTAGTACATTATTTCTACAGTATTGTTACATTATTATTACATTATTGTTACATTATTATTACATTATTGTTACATTATTATTACAGTATTGTTACATTATTATTGCAGTATTGTTACATTATTTCGTAGGGCTGCACAGTATTTTGCATTGCATTGTCGTTATCACCATAGTAGTATATGCAATATTCGTATCGCAGACGTGTAATAATTTACATTTATTTTATGCATTGGTTGTTTATATAAATTTGACCAATCAGATGGGGACTTACTATCTTTAGCCCCGCCTCCCAAGTAGTTGCGGTTCTGCTATTGGCTGGAGCAGCCCAGAGCTGAAAATAAACACCAATGGCGAGTCAGAATATCTGCGCAGGTTTACGCTCATCCGTAGTGTCTTAAAGACTAAATGTTTGCAGCTTGACACTATTTTCTCATTTAAATTTGAAATAATTACATCTGAAAAATATATATTTACCTGCTTATTTTAATATTATTACACAATTAAAGGATTTAAAAACATAGCTGATTAATAAAAGAATTTTCCTGGGGAATTGTTATATTATTAAAAAATTATTAGTACAATTGTGTGAGTTTCCCATCAGCAGATGAACCAACGAAACTGCTTCCTTCTGCCAGATCACTATATAATAATCGGGGCCCAGAGGGATGCGTGGGGCCCCGGAGCCGTGAAGTCTGGTGTGGGAACGGCCCTCCTGATGGAGCTAGCAAGAACATTCAGCAACATGGTGGAAAACGGTAAACACACTTATTTACTTCATAATTCATACATTAAAGCACTGGTATGCTTGTTCCTGCTGCTGTGTTGTCATGGCAACGCTGGTAAAATGTCACTTCTTGACTCCTTCATTGTCAAATTAAGTTGTACTATCAATAAAATTAGCTTATCTTAATATTGTGTGTTTATTTAAATCAGTTTAAGCTGAGTCAAATTCAAAAACTCAAACACAAAATACTTATTCTGAATATTTATTGAATTAGAATAGTTTTAACGCGTCTTCAGTTTACGGGATTTCAGTGCGTCGCTAATATGTATAGCACATCCACAGAAGTCAGTTGGAGTTGTTTGTGTGATCTGTCTGCTGGTGTTCAGGCTTTTCCCCGCGGCGCAGTCTGCTGTTCGTCAGCTGGCATGGAGGAGAGTTTGGGAATGTTGGCGCCACCGAGTGGCTGGAGGTCAGAACTGCACATCTGTGTAATGACTCGCTGAACTCGTGACTGCTTTTGATTTATAATTGTTGTTCTCGTGTTTCTTTATATTCATTCTTGATTTTCTCATGTTTCTTTTTTACAGAATGAGATTAAAAACATTATACAGTAAATGAAGCATTGTGTTTAATAAAGCTATTGTTACTTGTTTATTTGTGACATTGAAATATAACAAAACAAATCAAATAAGCTACACAAAATAAAATCAATCTCTTCATATAAACAATAGGCTCTTTCTGTTTTTACTGTGTGCAGATAGATGATGTTGTGTAACGAGTAAGTCTCTCTCTGTGTGTGTGCGTGCGTGCGCATGTGTGTTTATGTTCAGGGTTACCTGACGATGCTGCACCTGAAGGCTGTGGCGTATTTCAGTCTGGATCAGGCCATCCTGGGTAAGACACACACACACACACACAAAACAAACACACACACATACAAATACATACACACACACACACTCTCTCACACACATACAAACAACGACACACACATACAAATACATACACACACACACACTCTCTCACACACATACAAACAACGACACACACAAACAACGACACAAACATACAAATAAACACAAATGCGCAATCTCAGACACAGTCTCACACCTACTGCCGTATCACCCTCCATTCCACAGGTTTGCGTTGTATTTTTTACTGTACAGGCTGTATTTCCTCTCCCCTCGCCCAGCCCTGCACCTAATGCTGCCTCTCACAGGACACTGTGTGCAGATTTACTTTCAGCAAAAACTCATTTTGTGCGCTTTATAAGCTTTTTATGTAATGCTTATTTCAGTAATGTCCTCATAATACACATTTTCCTGTATTACCAGTGTAATACCCATGATGTTATACACATCTGTGACCTGATATGTCACTAAAACACACACACTACTGTTTCTTCAGCAGTAAAACCCGAGTGTGTGTGTGTGTGTGTGTGTGTGTGTGTGTGTGTGTGTGTGTGTGTGTGTGTGTGTGTACAGGTGATGATGTCCTGTCGGTGTACAGCAGTCCTCTTCTCTCTCACCTCATCGAAGGAGCCATCAAACAAGTTTGTGTGTCTTAAACCTGCTTCCTACAGCGTTTGTGTTTACTTGCAATTACTCGTTCTGATTCTCAATGTAATGATCTACATGTACAGTCTTTATTTTTATTTTGTTATTTTTTTAGGTGAACAATTAATCCGTACAAGCAAAAATCCACTTAAGGCTATAAATATTTGTTCTGGCTTGGATTGGCTCCTTTTCGGATGCTGTCAGTTTGCCGCTCCACCCACAATATTCTTAGCCACACCCCTCTTACTGTTAGTCGGCTTTGAGAGAATGATGTGCAAAATGAAAGCCCCACCCCCTACTCAATTTTTCATTTCAGTTTTAAATAAATCATCATACTGAAATAAAGACCCGCCCACTACTCAATATTCAGTTTCAGTTGGAAATAAATCATCAAACTGAAATAAAGACCCGCCCCCTACTCAATATTCAGTTTCAGTTGTAAATGAATCATCATACTGAAATAAAGACCCGCCCACTACTCAATATTCAGTTTCTTTTGGAAATAAATCATCATACTGAAATAAAGACCCGCCCCCTACTCAATATTCAGTTTCAGTTGGAAATAAATCATCAAACTGAAATAAAGACCCGCCCACTAATCAATATTCAGTTTCAGTTGTAAATACATCATCATACTGAAATAAAGACCCACCCACTACTCAATATTCAGTTTCAGTTGGAAATAAATCATCATACTGAAATAAAGTCCCGCCCCCTACTCAATATTCAGTTTCAGTTGGAAATACATCATCATACTGAAATAAAGACCCGCCCACTACTCAATATTCAGTTTCAGTTGGAAATAAATCATCAAACTGAAATAAAGACCCGCCCACTACTCAATATTCAGTTTCAGTTGGAAATACATCATCATACTGAAATAAAGTCCCGCCCCCTACTCAATATTCAGTTTCAGTTGGAAATGAATCATCATACTGAAATAAAGCCCCGCCCCCTACTCAATATTCAGTTTCAGTTGAAAATAAATCATCATACTGAAACAAAGACCCGCCCCCTACTCAATATTCAGTTTCAGTTGGAAATACATCATCATACTGAAATAAAGTCCCGCCCACTACTCAATATTCAGTTTCAGTTGGAAATAAATCATCATACTGAAATAAAGTCCCGCCCCCTACTCAATATTTAGTTTCAGTTGGAAATAAATCATCATACTGATAAAAAAAACCTGCCCCCTAATCAATATTTAGTTACAGTTGGAAATACATCATTATACTGAAATAAAGTCCCGCCCACTACTCAATATTCATTTTCTGTTAAAAATACATCATCATACTTCTCCAGCTTATGATTATAAAACAGCAGGATTGTGTGTGTGTGTGTGTGAGTGTGAGTGTGAGTAAGTGTGTGTGTGATCATTATGTGGTTTGAGCTGTGTGTTTATGTCGCAGGTGGAGCACCCCAAACACACAGGACAGTCCATCCTCTCTCTGGTGCAGCGGCAGGGTGGATGGAGGAACATGTGAGTCTCCTTTAACATATCAATTTGCATACTATTCACCCTAAATAATATGCAGAAATAAAATTAGTGTTGCAAGTCATGTTATGTTGAAATGAGGTTTTTAAAGTTACACAGATAATCTACTGCAGGGGTGTCCAAACTTTTTGGGCCGAGGGCCAGATGCAAAAACAAACCAAATTTTACATACATCACACAGACACGCGCATATATATATATTTATATATATACAGTTGAAGTCAGAATTGTTAGCCCCCCTAAATTATTTGCCCCCCTGTTTATTTTTTTCCCCAATTTCTGTTTAACGGAGAGCAGATTTTTTTCCACACATTTCTAATCATAACAGTGTTAATAACTCATCTCTAATAACTGATTTCTTTTCTCTTTGTCATGATGACAGTAAATAATATTAGACTAGATATTCTTCAAGACACTTCTATACAGCTTAAAGTGACATTTAAAGGCTTCACTAGGGTAATTAGGGTAACTAGGCAGGTTAGGGTATAAGTTATTTTATAACAATGGTTTGTTCTGAAGACTTACGGGGCTAATAATTTTGACCTTAAAATGGTTCATAAAAAATTTAAAACTGATTTTATTCTAGCCGAAATAAAACAAATAAGTCTCTCCAGAAGAAAAATATTATCAGACATACTGTGAATATGTCCTTGCTCTGTTAAACACCATTTGGGAAATATTTCAAAGGGGGAAATAAATCAAAGGGGGGCTAATATTTCTGACTTCAACTGAATATATATATCTATATATATATATATATATATATATATATATATATATATATATATATATATATATATATATATATATATATATATATATATATATATATATATATATATATATATATATATATATATATATATATATATATATATATATATATATATATATATATATATATATATATATATATATATATATATATATATATATATATATATATATATATATATATATATATATATATATATATATATATATATATATATATATATATATATATATATATATATATATATATATATATATATATATATATATATATATATATATA